AAGCGATAAAGTCCCAAAAGTCAACTCGGGACACCATGGGGTCCACGACCTTAGAATTCCGATCCGAACATTCCTAGAGGTTCCAATACGCCTAGGACACATGTCCTGAGAGTTTGGTCTCGATCGGACGGTCGGATTGCTCACGATCGCACGGACGAATGATTTTCCATAACATTAACCCTAGGGTTGGCCTTTTCGGAGAATCCGGTACTCCGATTGACGATCTGTCGAATCCTACAAGATCCTGAAATTACCTAGATCAACATACTCTAGTTTGACTACGATCCATCGGTCTGAACGTATTGAACCCGGAAATCGCACACTATGCGAGATCCGTTCGGGGTTCAAACGTTATCCGAATTGAGATCCGAGAATTCCTACGCGCTCGTGAGGACACGAGGATCATTCTAGGACCAATAGTGGCCCCAGTTACCTGGCCCACGCGCCGCCCACGAGCCGCTCACGCGTGGGTGTGCCTAACAATTTTCGATGGCCGGATTTTCTCCAAATCGTCGGCCCAAACTCCTATCCTAGGTAATACACCCTATTTGAAACCACTTTTGTTCTTGGATTATGGCCAAAAAGTGGCCGGAAGTGGCTGATATCGGCGTTCTAAACTCGGCAGAAACTCAACTCGTAAATCAACCCTTCAAACCTCAAAATCTCTCGAAACCTACCCAGCCATCAGCTAGAGCATGAAAATCAGTCGAAAAATCATACCTAATTTGTCCGATTTGGTGGCCGGAAGACGACGAACGAAGTCGACGAGCTCGTGGCGGCTGGACGGCAGGGAGGGTCTGGGGTGAGATGCGGAGGCGGTGGCGCTCCGTTCTGGTCTGGTCTGGTGGCTGGGAGATTGGTGGTGATCGGCTGAAGCTGCAGAGGGAGAGAGGTGGCGTGAGGGAGAGGGAAAGTGAGGAGAGAGAAAGGAGAAAACAGATTTTAAAAATCTTATTTTCTCAAATTACGATTTTGGCCCTTTTCTTATTTTGACATATTTTCTTCAATACGACTCGGATTTGAGTCCATTGCATGTCTACGGACTCGTTTCGACGCGCTTTACGCAATGGTACAAACAAAATCTCCAAATTCCAACCCGGTAAGTTTTGGGTTGTTACAAAAAAATCCCTGATTTTGTGGGATTGGGCAGAGAAGATTTTGTCAGAATAAGATAGGAGGAGAAAGGAAGGAAAAAGCTTGGCCAAAATTGGATAGAAACCATTAGGGTTTCTTGGAGAAAGAGGGCTTCCAGCGACTATAAAAGGGGTCATCTTCTACCCATCAAAACCAACCCACAACCAGAGAGCAAGCTTCCTCTCTCACCAAAGCCCAGCAATTTCGTGCCATGTTCATCATTCTCCCCCAATTTTTCTCTCCTGGCAGAATTGTTCCAGTTCTTGACAGAACCTTTGTCGAGCTGCGAGAAAATCACGTAAGCCACCCATCGCCCTCTCCTTATCTCCTTTTCCCTCTTTTCAACCAAACCCTCATCGAATCCTTCATTCCCTTGCCTTAAAAACTCTGTTTCTCATAGGAAATCGCAGCTCTTTCTCTCTCATGCTAAACTCATGACTACTTTGCTTCCATGCCACAAGCCTCTCATGCCAAGCTATAAAATTTATCTGTAAGTTGTTATTTTCGTTGGTGAAGGTAACCAAGGAGTTTCCTAAGACTTCACTACCATTTCGAAACATTCTTGGGGCTTGATCTTCGAACTCATAAACAGGGGCAATCTCATATGTTCATTCTTTACAGTAGCCCAAACCCATTCGTCTGGCTGCTGGAAGAAAAAGACTCCCACACATGCAAAATCCCCACTCAACACCCTAAATAAGTAAAGCTTTCAAGGTTTTAGCCCAAAACATCACAAATATTGAAAATATCAAGGCCCAAGACTTAATAAACATGTGGTCCAATATATAAAGCCTTAGATTTTGGCCCAAAATCATATATTAAAAAATTATTGAAATAGATTATGTGTTATAATATATATTGTATTGCTATGAAAACCTAGACTTTGTAGGAGACAGCTATGAAATTGTTTTTTACGCCCTCAGATAAACAAAAGTCTAGATCCGCCATTGGGTATGCTACAGTCAATTTATCTACACGAACATGAATGGTTCTTGATTATAATACATAAGAATTATAATGCATTAATGGCCATAAAATCTCCACGCACGGACAATTGACGATAGCAAAATTCAACCCCTCCTCTCTCCCCAGCAGCCAAAAAAGAAGAGAGAGAATTCTCACTTAAACAAGTGAAGCGAGTGACATGGAAAACAAATCCCACGTGTATCTCTCTTTATCTACGTGGCAGACTTTGATAGGAACAATGATGTCAAGACTCAAGTCACAGTAACAGCCGAAGCGCCAAAAGCCAAAAAGCCAGTGATATCCCGCATGACTTTCAGAATAAACCTAAAAATCGAAACAAAGGGGTCCAAAATCCAAAATTTGCGAAATGTCGGAGACGAAGGCCGAGAGTAAGAGCAAAAACCCTAAAAAGGCCAATCTGTCAGATCACAGCTCCATCAAGCACCTTCTCGACGAGTCAGTCTCCGAGGTCGCTCTTTCCCTAACCTAAATTTCTATCTATCTCATTCTCATCTTAACATGTTATTAAATTCTTTAGCTGATAACATTGGAAATCCGTCATTTGCTTCAATTCAAAAAGGAATTCGATAAATCTCTATTGAATATTGTACGATTATCAATTTGTGTTTGCTTCATCGTCTAATTTGTGGATTATGAGGCTGTTTGGAGTGATCAGCGATTGTAATGGATTTGTAGATTGTTAAGAGCCGTGGATATGTGGAGAATACGAGGTTAAGTAACTTGAAGTTGTTGATTGGAGCCATTGTCATAATCATTGCTCTATTTGCTCAGTTCTACAACAAGAAATTTCCAGAGAACCGAGACTTCCTGATTGGATGCATTGCATCATATCCTTTTTACATGGGTAACATGTAGTTTAAATAAATAAATAAATCATACAGTTTTCATCTAATATCTTTTTTTTGGGATGATTTTTATGCATTTTCATACGTTGGAAAAGCCAAAATCAGTTGCTAAATGGGTTCTGCTATTTGCTTTCAACATTATTTTATCATGATTTCCAGTTCTAATTTTCATATTGGATAAGTGCGTGAAGTTGGTTTAAGTGTTTTTAAAAGTATTTTTTCCCCAGAAATTTCAGACCATACTTGTGTTATATCAGCAAACAAATGTTATCTGAAATGCTTGGTTTTAAAAGAGGGTTTTTGGAGAATTCATAAATGCATTTTTGGCAAGGACTTTGTGAAGTAATTGAAGAGTTCCTTGTTCAAATGATAATACTCTCAAGTCTGTTTCATCCTTGACTCTGGCAAGTATATCATCGTAAATGGGATATTACAGGTGGTTTCATACACTAAGGAGAAAAATGCAATCTTGTTCACTCATCCTCCTGTGGTAAGCTTATTTTCTGTTTTGGTCAATGGCTCAGTGAAATATATGTTTGGGAGCAATTCAGATGGTTTGACTGACATTTTGTTTAAGATTTTAATACTACCCTGTTGCTGTCGAGGAAGACAAGTTGTGGTCATTAAGAATGTTGTCTTGTATCTTTGGTGCTTGAACTTTCAAATATTTCCTTGGTTGGCCTGTGTTGGCTTGGCTTAGATTTGTTAACATGGCTGGTTGTGTGAATGACATAATCGAACTCGCAAGTCTTGTTCAGGTTTTGCTCTAAATGATCAAAACTGACGAGATTTTGATCTCACATGGTTGATTTGCCTGCAGTGCAGAATATGAACCTATACTGGAACTTATATGAGAGTGCTTTCTTTTTTTTGCATTTGTACATCTGATATTTGAAACTAGGTGTCATTTGTTTTCTTCACTAGTAACTAGGCACTGTTAGTTGCTGGTAATTCTGCCAAATATGTCAGTCATATCTAAGATTTGGAAGAGCATAGAGAAGTTGGAATTTGGTTTCATTAGAAAATTTGTTTCGTTGTCCATTTCCTCATTAGTAATTCATATGTACAGGGAGCCTTCAGCACTGGGTTGGTGGTGTCTTCCAAATTACCAAGATTTTCTGACTTGTACACACTTACGGTAGCAAGTGCGGATCCAAAATCGATATCTGCAAACAAACCGGTGGAATTCACGAAGAGTGTTACTCAGTGGTAAGTGCTCACAACACAACTCACAATTGTGTTTGTATTGCATCTTGGAGCTTCAAATTGCACTAACATATTTTGATCTACTTTCTCCTTCTCCGTCTACTGTTCCAGGTTTACCAAGGATGGAGTATTGGTGGAAGGCCTGTTCTGGAAGGAAGTAGATGGACTGATAAACGATTATGCAAGAGAACCCAAGAAGAGCAAGTGAATTTCCGCTTTGCGGAGACCCCAATCTGATTCAGTTCTCATACAGAATGAACTCTTTGAAGTATTGTGATTTTTGCATAAAATGTTGGTAGCCACAATGAATTTGAAAGACAGTGTACTTCATCATTCATAATGAACACTGGGGTTCCAAACCTATTTAGTACGTAGACCTTTCAATTTGACTCCAGATTGACTACTTTTCTAAGTACTGTGGGTCAGATTGACTCCATCCTTTATAATGTTTTAGGACTTTACTTCACCAAGGCATTTTTGGCGTTATTGAATGTTTCACTTTTAAGGCCTTGTGCCTTTATATATATGCATAGATACTACAGTTTTGGAAATGCCAAGTTCCGGCACTCTCACAAATGACCTTCAACTGTTGATGCAATGTAGAGACCTCTCATGTATCAACGATGCAATGTAGACCTCTCATGTATCAACGGCCGCCAGCCGCCAATCGGGCATAGCGATTCACTCAAGCACAACTCTTTTTAATGGAGAATTCACTCAATCCGATATACTCGAACTCGATCCAATTTATCGAATTGGCCACAACTTAAATAATTGGGTCTGTTGAATGGACTTATATTGGGTTTGGATCAATTTGTTTTTGGACAAACAAATGCGGCAACTAGACGACACTGGACACCTCCAGATGCTTCTTCTACAACCTTCTATTGCCTCTTCCCCAAGTTTTCTTCAGTCTTCTTCTCTCGCTCTCTGAAGAGGAACTATTTTATAGCTTTGTCCAGAAAGAAAAAAAAAAACTATTTTCTAGCAAAACCCTAAACCATTGAGCTTGCTTTTGTGATTATTGGGTTCATTTCATGGTCAAATGGCGAGCCGCAGAGCCACAAGACTCACCCAGTCGACTTTGGCTTTGGCGTCCCTGAACGCCTCTAAAGCCTCAAGAAACTCTCTCTCTCAGTCTCGTGCAATCGCAGTGGCAGCTTCCGCTCGCGCCTTCGGTAGCTCCGTCGCTCCCTTCTCTCGCCCCAACGTCGTTTCAGAGAGCTGTAATGTCGTTTCAGCCAAGTATTTGGCAACCGCCTTCACTCGCAGCTTTCACTCTTCCACTCCCAAATTCTACTCAGCCACAACCTCATCTCAGGTCACAAGCTCTGAAAGTTTTCTCATTTAATTTCATCAAGTATTGAATTATATGAAAAGAATTGGAGGCTAATTTTTGTTGTTGATTGAAATATCAGGCTAATCCGAATGAGTACACTGAGATGGCTTGGGAGGGCATTGTGGGTGCTGTTGATGCCGCTCGAGTTAGCAAGCAACAGGTTGTGGAAACCGAGCACTTAATGAAAGCGCTTTTGGAGCAAAAGGATGGTTTGGCCAGGAGAATTTTCACCAAGGCTGGCTTAGACAACACTACGGTTCTTCAAGCTACTGATAACTTCATTGCTCAGCAACCCAAGGTGCTTTTATAAAATCCCATATCTCATTTTGCATCATATCAAATATGTGATGGCTTTGTTTGTAGGAGGTAGTGAACAATTTGAACATTGTGTTGTGGCAGGTGACGGGTGCCACCTCTGGGCCTATTATGGGCTCGCATCTGAGTGGTGTGTTGGACAATGCCCGGCGGCAGAAGAAAGACATGGGAGATGATTTCGTGTCGGTGGAGCACCTTGTGTTGGCGTTCCAGTCAGATACTCGGTTTGGGCAGCAATTGTTTAGAAATCTCCAGCTTAGTGATAAGGATTTGAAGGAGGCTGTTAAGGATGTTCGTGGAAGTCAGAGAGTCACTGATCAAAGTATGATGTGCTCCACCTTAAGTTGATATTTTAGAATTCTGTGTATTTGCTATTTTTATATGCTTTAATTAATATAATCCATATTGTGTATAGATCCTGAAGGAAAATATGAGGCCTTGGATAAATACGGGAATGACTTAACTGAACTCGCTAGGCGTGGCAAACTTGATCCTGTTATAGGCCGAGATGATGAAATACGACGGTGTATCCAGATATTGTCCAGGAGAACGAAAAACAATCCTGTTATTATTGGTGAGCCTGGTGTGGGAAAAACTGCAATTGCTGAAGGGTATGTTCATTCAAGTGCATTGCTTTGCTGTACTTTGTTATGACTGTTTCAAAAAGTTCTAAGATATGTGCCTTAGCTTATTTAATTTATATGAGTAAATTCGTTGACTTGATGCATCCTTTACATGCCTTCTGGGCACTACCATAACACTTTAGGAAGTAAGTTTGTTCAGTCAACCACCCAGATGCTCTGGTATTCTCAAGCATTGCTATTGTCACATAAAGATTGATGTTGAACAATTTGCCTGGTGGCATAAATTGCCAGATTATTCATTATGCATCCTATGCATTCTTCTGTTGTATTGTTTTACTATAACTTTTGTATGATCTGCAGATTAGCTCAACGAATTGTGCGTGGGGATGTTCCAGAACCGCTATTGAATAGAAAGGTAATCATTCGTTTTAGTTTTAATTATCAATTCTAAAAATTATAAGACAATAATAGTTTTATGTAGAAACAAAACCTTGGTTTCAAAATATTTTTTCCTTGATCTTCAAATTTATACATAGTTTTGCATTTTGTCTACTATTTTACAGTTGATTTCCTTAGATATGGGTTCATTGGTTGCTGGTGCCAAGTTTCGTGGGGATTTTGAGGAAAGGTTGAAAGCTGTGTTGAAGGAAGTTACTGCTTCAAATGGACAGATTATATTATTCATTGATGAGATTCATACTGTTGTAGGAGCAGGTTTGTGCAAAACTAGAGTCTTTTTATTGTGGGTCTGTCGTGTTTTCTCCTGATGTCCTTGTTAATGATTCTTGTAGGGGCTACAAGTGGTGCGATGGATGCTGGGAACTTGTTGAAGCCAATGCTTGGGAGAGGTGAGCTTCGCTGTATAGGAGCAACTACATTAAATGAGTACAGAAAATACATTGAGAAGGATCCTGCACTTGAGCGTAGATTTCAACAAGTATTTTGTGGCCAGCCATCTGTCGAAGACACAATATCCATTCTTCGTGGCTTGCGTGAGCGCTATGAGCTGCATCATGGTGTGAAAATATCAGATAGTGCCCTTGTTTCTGCAGCTGTTTTTTCTGACAGATACATTGCAGAACGTTTTTTGCCTGACAAAGGTAATAATAATTTCCACCTTATAGGCTCTTTTTTTAGGGTGGCAGGAGGGGATGAGGAGGGGTGGTGGGATTTGTTTTCTCAAAATAAAATTTGTGTTTGATAGATCTTGCAAGTATAGGAATAAGATGCACTCATTTTTTTGGAACTTCCATTGGGTGGATTTCAACCAATACAAATAGAGGGCTTGGAGCCAACATAATAAAGAAAAGAAGGGGTCGAAGAACTAGAATTTTCTTTATAGTTCCCTCTTGTGAATTTGTCTTCATGTTTAGTATTGGACTAGGACATCTGATTCTATAAAAATGAAAAAAAGAAAAGCTTAGTCACACCCACACCCTTAAAGACTCTTACCATTAAATTCTTCTGTTTTCTTTTTTGTCAACTATGAGTTTTGTAACTTATCTTCTCTGTTTCAGCCATTGATCTAGTTGATGAAGCTGCTGCAAAGCTGAAGATGGAGATCACTTCTAAGCCCATTGAATTGGATGAGGTAGACAGAGCTGTGTTGAAGTTGGAGATGGAGAAGCTGTCTGTGCGAAATGACACTGATAAATCATCGAAAGAAAGGTTAAGCAAGCTGGAAAATGACCTGGCATTGCTTAAGCAGAAACAAAAAGAATTAACCCAACAATGGGATCATGAGAAGGCTCTCATGACTCGGATACGATCAGTTAAAGAAGAGGTATTCCTCCATTCAGTGGGCAATTGTTGTTGGCAAGTTTCCTCTTCCCTTTATTTGTTGATTCGTATGTTTCTAATTTTTGTAGATTGATAGAGTAAACCAAGAGATGGAAGCTGCTGAACGCGACTATGACCTAAATCGTGCTGCGGAGCTCAAATATGGAACTCTAACATCCCTACAACGCCAGTTAGAAGAGGCAGAGAAAAACCTTGCTGAGTATCAGAAGTCTGGAAATGCTTTGCTTCGAGAAGAAGTCACCGATCTTGATATTGCTGAAATTGTAAGCAAATGGACTGGTATACCCTTGTCAAACCTTCAACAATCAGAAAGAGACAAGCTAGTTATGCTAGAACAGGTTCTTCATAAGAGGGTGATCGGTCAGGATATAGCTGTGAAATCAGTGGCTGATGCAATTCGACGTTCAAGGGCAGGCCTATCTGACCCAAACCGACCAATAGCAAGTTTTATGTTCATGGGTCCAACTGGTGTGGGGAAAACAGAGCTAGCAAAGGCTTTGGCTGGCTATCTCTTTAACACGGAAAATGCTCTTGTCAGAATTGATATGAGTGAGTACATGGAAAAACATGCAGTTTCACGCTTGGTTGGGGCACCACCTGGTTATGTCGGTTACGAAGAAGGTGGGCAGCTAACAGAAGTGGTTCGTCGAAGACCTTATTGTGTAGTGCTGTTTGATGAAATAGAGAAAGCACATCATGATGTCTTCAACATTTTATTACAATTGTTGGATGATGGGAGGATCACTGACTCTCAAGGGCGAACTGTAAGCTTCACCAATTGTGTGGTGATAATGACCTCAAACCTAGGCTCCCACTACATACTTGAAACTCTTCGTAATACACATGATAGCAAGGATGCAGTTTATGAAGTGATGAAAAGACAAGTTGTTGAGTTGGCGAGACAAACTTTCCGCCCTGAATTTATGAATCGAATTGATGAGTATATTGTCTTCCAGCCTTTGGACTCAAAAGAGATCAGTAGTATTGTTGAGCTACAAGTGAGTAATCGATCTTCCATCTTTCATTCTTTTAGATATGATCTAAATGTTTTTGTCTTTTCTTTTTCTTTCTTACCGAGTCGTATTAGAGATGGTGGTTAAATGCTTCAATGCCCATTCCAATTGCAGATGAACCGGTTGAAAGACAGGCTAAAGCAGAAGAAAATTGATCTTTACTACACAAAGGAAGCTGTGGAACTTCTGGGTACATTGGGCTTTGATCCAAACTATGGTGCAAGACCAGTTAAGCGGGTGATACAACAGTTGGTTGAGAATGAAATTGCAATGGGAGTCTTGAGAGGGGATTTCAATGAGGAAGACTCTCTTATTGTTGATGCTGAGGTGTCCCCATCTGCCAAAGACCTTCCTCCCCATAACAGGTTGCTCATCAAGAAACTGGAGAACACGTCTGCTGTCGATGCCATGGTTGCGAATGACTGATCTCAACTGATTCCGGTGCTTCGAATTGTAAATAAAGCTTAACAAAAAGGTTGGTGTTGTTTTGTTTTAGCTTTCAGATGTTAAGACAAGAAGTGCCTGCCTGCCTGCCTGCCTGAGTTACGTATTGTGGTGAGTTGTTTAAATCTCTACTCTAATTTCTAACCAAACAAAAGATCAACAAATAAGTTTTTTTTACTCGGGGCATGTGTCTCAGTTCAAGTGGTTAAGAGCAGTTGAAGGAAAAAATTAAAAATTAAAAATTTCCGACATGGGTGATTGCCCTTAGCATATACCATCCCATTCAACTGAAAATTTGCGTCCAAATCAAGTTTTGTGACACAAGAATAAAGAGCAATACTTCGATTGGAATCCTAGTATGGGATAAGGATTGTAGGGAAACAAACAGATGGAGGAAAATTTGTCAAAATCGCATCAAAATTATATCACTGGACTGGACCCATGCATGAAAAATATCAATATAAATATTATAGCTACACTGCTGGACGTGCATACGCCCAAAATAGTGATATCATTGTCCTCGTCTTTACCAATTAGAGAATGTTGTGTGACTAAAAATCCAAAATTTGTATGACTTGACACTTCGTAGGTGGTACCCATAAACAAACTCATAATAATTCACAAAGCAAAAGCTTAACTATGTTCATTAATTATGGATGCTAATTTTCTTCATATTAAAGTGCTAAACTCATAATTGAACGACTCTGAGTAGGATGCAAAAGTCATATCATAATTTGTCGTTTTAATGTCTAATTGGCATTTGTTTTTGTTGTCTTCTTCTTTTCCAATTGCTCTCAATCAGTTCATAACCCACACTGCTCATCCTCAATCTCATCTTATCGTAAAATTATCATTATTAATCACGAGATTAATCAAATTTGACAATTATCATCACTGAACAATATGCATGCAACCCTAACAACCAATAATTAATCATGCTTGATTAGGATAGCCTCCTTTGACAATCCAAATGAATCATGAACCTACCAAACATGCATCCTCTCTATCTAATCATTATATTTCAAGTGTAAACTTGATCAGTGTGAATCTGTCAACTTTTTATTAACTTGAAGTCAACTATATTAGCTTCTTTGAGGGACAATTTTGTATTTTAATGAATCAATTGTCTGCTTTTCAACTCTTTATTCGTAGATAATCTTTGTAAAAAAAACACATACGCATAAGTTGGATAACAGTTAACCATTTAATGAAGTGATACTTATTTTAGCATTCGTCTCTTCATTTAATCACAACTAGATGTCTTTATTTATGCTTAAAATTTCCAAAAAATAATAATAATTCGGATGATCAAAATACAATACTAATTGAGTACACAAATAAACTTATTTGAGACTCTTTAACTTATATATTAGTAGTTGCATGCATGCATTTGAAAATCAATATAAACCAATAAGATTATAAAGTAAGAAACTATAAATTTTGGAAATGAAATCCAAATTACAAAAGATTTGGTTACCTGAAACAGTCTCACCCTAAGCCCAAATTAGAATAGTCCAACTCCAACCCCGAAAGTCAGATTTTTATTGCTTGGACTTGGACTTGGGGGCAACATACGAGTCAGACAGAGAACCAGAGAAGCTTTCTTTGCACACACTTTCACGTCAGCTACTACTTTGCAGTTATACCATACACTCATCTCTACCTTCCTTATCGTACACCCCACATCTAGGCCCCAAACAAAACGACACGGCAAGCCCCATACGAAGCTTCTTCCATCTATAATTCAATGGACGGTAGCGACGGTGTCAGTATTCTACACTGTAGTAATGGTGCAAAATTACGCATTTCCCTATGCGAAAACTAATGGCTTGCTCTGGAAGTCCCTTTCTCAGTTTTCTATCTCCCTAGTCCCTCTCCAACACAAATTTTAGAAATGGCTTTTTCATTTCTCAACAAGCCTTTTTCTTTCTATAAATTATTTATTTATTTTCATATCAAATAGCCAAAAGGAAAATGTTGTAAATTTGCACGTTCTATTGTCTTGAAAATTTAGGAAAGGTACTGTTTGTGTTGCACCCCAGCAGATCAAAGACTTTTCCATAATTCACAAATTTGTAATATAACGATATCATCTCTGCTAGAGTATATTGGAGATTCAAAGCCGGGTAAAAAGTCATTCATTCATAATTTGGGATAAATTCAAGATTCAAAGCGAGGGATGAGGTTTTGATATGTGGCGTAAAATGTATGCTATTCATAAGTCGGAGTAGATTTTAGATTCAATGTACCAAGTAAAATTTTGAAGTGCGACATTAAAAGTCCATTATTTATAATTTGAACTAGATTATGCATTTAAAGTTTCAAGCATTATTTGGCGTAAAAGATAGATTATCTATAATTTGAGTAGATTTTGTATTCAAAGTCCGTAACTAAACTTCAACGCGTGGCATAAAAGGTTAGTCATGGATAATCTTGTAATGCAATTTTTAAGTTAACAAATTGCCTTCTTGGTTTTTAAGATGTAGAAAACTGTTGGTGTATTTAAATAGTGGTAGAAAACTATTATTGTGTAATTTGAAAATGACATTATATTTAGTGAAAAAATTTATAATTCGATAAATTTAGAAAGATACAAACTGGGCCTTAAATATCACTCCCTGTGTCTCTGGTGCCAGTGTTCAGTAAGAAGCAGAGTCTCCGGGACTGAGAGCTCATTATAAATAAACAACAAAGAAAACCAGATTTACAATTAACAAGTACTCTCTCTACACTATCTCTCTCTCTCTCTTTCTCGCATTTAGGCTCGTTTCTCCGTGCAATGTAGTTCACTGCAAAGCAAGCAGAGAAACGTTATGGCCAAGTGTCACCGAAACGACATCGGATCCGTCGTGCTAGACCGCGCTACCACCACCACGTCCGCCGGAGGAGGCGGTCACTTCCGTCTCTGGTCATCCTTCTCCGGTGCTTCATTCCGCCGGAAAATCTTCTACGCCGTCAGTTGCGGCGGCAGCTCCCGCTATCGCCACCACAACGACAAAAACGACGTCGCTCCGTCCAGTCCTCCCATTCCCCAGGCCACTGCCACGAGATCAACGGCGACGAAAACGACGTCGCAGTCGCCCTCCAAAGAAAAAGAGCTGGAAAAGGTAAAACCGAAGTCTGAGAAGCTTTCGGATCTTCTGAGCCTCGCGGAGTTTTCGGAGTCGGAGAACGACGCCGTGACCAAGAACAAGGTGGAGGCTTTGGATGAGCTGAAGCGCGTGGCGAAGGAATTGCAGGTCGAAGACGACTCGGCGAAGAGGAAAGAGGCGGCGAGCAGAGTGAGATTGCTCGCCAAGGAAGATGTGGAAGCCAGAGCGACGCTGGCCATGCTCGGAGTCATTCCTCCGCTCGTCGCCTTGCTCGACTCCGACGACGTCGTTGCTCAGATCGCATCGCTCTACGCTCTGCTCAATCTCGGGATCGGCAACGATGTGTGAGTTAACACGTTCTTCGGATTTTGAGCCTTCTCTGATCTAATTTTGTTGTTATGTCATTTTCTCGTTTTAATTTCTCTCTGTGATTGTTCTTCTTGCATGCATTTTTGTTTTATCAGCTTCTTAGCTTTGATTAATTGGGCAATTGGTTTTGGTTTTAATTCGCGTTTTTGTTTTCTGTCATTTTCATGCCATGATGTTTTATTCTTCCGTCATTTTCAAGGCCGAGTAGTTTTTCCACTGTTTTTTTCTTAGAAAATAAATTATTCATATTTATTCCAACTGTTCTTATCTTCAGGCTGACAGTGTTGCATGTTTGTGAAATGATGAACTCTCTCATGGACATCTCATAGTGTTAATTGCATTCTCCAGTTTATTTTGTTTTTTTTTATTATTTCGCATTCTGTTAATTTGCTTTATTCCCATTTTAATTGCATTTGAATCACTTTTATTGACCCCTTGTTGCATTTGTTTCTTTCCATCTTTTTCTGAATTAAAAAAATTTATCAATGCTTTTTGGACCACCCCTTTTGCAGAAACAAGGCTGCTATTCTCCAAGCAGGGGCTGTTCACAAAATGCTTAAACTCATTGAATCCCCAAATCCTCCAGACCCATCAGTCTCAGAAGCTATAATTGCAAATTTCCTTGGCTTAAGCGCATTGGATTCGAATAAACCAATCATTGGAGCTTCAGGTGCCATACTCTTCTTGGTTAAAACCCTCAAGAATTTGGACAACACAAGTAGCCCTCAAGCTAAGCAAGATGCCTTGAGAGCTCTCTACAACCTTTCAATCTTCCCATCCAATATTTCGTTCATATTGGAAACTGATTTGATCCCATTTTTCCTGAATTCGCTTGGAGACATGGAAGTGAGTGAAAGAATCCTTGCAATTCTAAGCAACATGGTATCTGTCCCCGAAGGTCGAAAAGCAATTAGCAGTGTCCGGGATGCATTCCCAATATTGGTTGATGCATTGAATTGGAATGATTCGCCGGGGTGTCAAGAGAAGGCATCCTACATTTTGATGGTGATGGCACACAAGGCATTTGGGGATAGGCAAGCCATGATCGAGGCGGGAATGGTATCGGCATTGCTTGAATTAACGCTTTTGGGTAGCACATTGGCACAGAAGAGAGCCTCAAGAATCTTGGAGTGTTTGAGAGTGGATAAAGGAAAGCAGGTTTCACAAAGCTTTGGTGGGAGTATGGGCGCAGCGGTTTCTGCTCCCATTTGTGGCTCTTCGTCGTCTTCTACAAACCCGAACATGGGTTCCAAGGAGTGTTTGGAAGAGGAGGAGGACATGATGAGTGAGGAGAAGAAAGCCGTGAAGCAATTAGTGCAACAGAGTTTGCAAAACAACATGAGGAGGATCGTGAAGAGGGCCAATTTGCCGCAAGATTTCGTCCCATCGGACCATTTCAAGTCACTCACCTCAAGTTCAACTTCTAAGAGCTTGCCATTTTGAGGAATTAGAGCTGCCAATGAAGATGTGGAGATTGAATTGAAGTGAAGAATTTCTGAAGTTAGTAGTCTTCTTTTCATACTCATATCATATTTCCAGCTTCTGGGCTTTTGTAGCTTTTGTTAGTAGATCAACTTGTTAAAATTTATAATAGTTATATCATAAATTATAATCTAGTAGCAGGAATTTTGTTTGGTTAAATTCCAGTTTGCTCTTAGTTATCCGTTTTGGTCAGAATATGAAACAATTTCTAGAGAGAATTTATTGTCAGTGGCATAGAATGCAAAAATGGAAAAATACAAGGGATGCTTTAGTCATAAAATATTTGCTCTGCGTATCCCCACAATCATAGGGTCACTTTCAACCCATTAGTACAATTTTGTCCAACTCTTTGGCCCTACCCACATTTAAAATTGCTAATGTAACCCACATCTATTGGAAGAGGTGTCGGTCATTTTCTTCCTTGGATGAAGTAGGGACAATTCAGGACCTTCACCATCTGGGAATCTTTCCTTTGGAAGAGGTGTTGTTTTTAGTATTCTTGGCGCCTGAAAGTCTCACCTGGAAATTTACAGAGTCGAATAATTAATGAATTGATTATACAAATTGCAATGAGAACATTAATGTCTTAAATCTCCTTCACTTGTTCATTAGTTTAATATTGTATTAATTACCAATTTCTATTAACAATTTACAGATCTGAAGAGAAGAACTAGACCAAACCCGATGCAGATTACAGAGCTGAGCTGTTCGTCATCAATGAAGGTCATAGACATTTCAGTCCCCACTGAGGTACATGTATATATCACATAAACTTCATGGTGGGGCATGGGGCATTTTGTAATCTATGCAAATTTAGATCTTTTGCAATGTGATTGAGTTAACTGGACTTGTCTCTGTGCGTGTGTATATATTTGTAGTGTGAATCTGATATTTACCTCTGGAGCTTTTGTTTTGTTACTTAAAATGTGCAAAATTTTGGTTGTGTACAGTAAATTTACTCTGCTTATTCTTCTACACACACACAGAGGCATGCGACATTTACTAGAGTGCAGTAGAATTTAGAGCTCTGTCTTTCTTTAAAAGGCTACGTGCTTTTTATTATCCATTGCTATTCTTTATTTTTAACCTAATCACACTCGGTCCACTTGTATTGAGATACAATCATATTTTATTTACTTATTGCTATGGCAGTGGGGTACGTCGAAGGCTAGGCCCTGCAGCTTCTGGACAGGCCAGTATGGTCTGATTCAATTGTTTATGCACCAAAGTGCAAATGCATGTGTAGCTGTGTGTAAGTCAATATTTAATTTTGAATGCCATGAGGTTTGTAGGCAATAATAAGTTAACAGAAAACCAGTCTAAGTTAAGTATATGTTTTTTTTCTTCCAAGTTTTATATACCAGCGATATTGGTGAACGGGAAAATTGAACCTAGGACTTCGGGTGTGGGAGTGAAAACAGGTTTTGTTGTAGCTGAAGCTATGTTTGAGTTGAGTTGTAACCTTTAGCTTTTAGGTTGCTTTTTATTTTAAAGGGCAAGTAAGGTGCGGATTAAATGCAGCCGTCCAATGTTGGTATTGAGATTGAAGGTAATATTCGGATCTTTCAGTCAGGGGGGATGAGGGAGGGCACATGCGTGCAAAAAAAAAAGTCTTTGCTCTGCTTTCTGCCTTGTGTTACCACCGACTTGGAAATAATAGCAGACTCTGTAGTTCACAAGATTTATTGAATATATTCAGACCCCAAAAAAAAAAAAAGATTTATCGAGTATGAAGGACAGTGGTGACGTACACGTGGCCCTTTTAGGATTTTTTTTAAATTTTATTTTTCCAAAAATTGTGAAAAAGGTGTCTGGTGGCGTGGGGACTTATGGCCAAAACTGCTATATTGTTGGAGGGTTTCTCTTATAATTTACAGGCAAACAATTTTGGTGTGTTTTTGGCAACTGCCCAACTAAGCAAATTAAACCCTTTTTAATATCCCACCAAAGAATAGATGTTGTAGTACTGATTTTCCCACTTTTGTGTTGATAAAATATTAGTTAGTGGGAATCTCTTTTCGAAGTGTTAATGTTGAAGGGTTTAAGTCACTAACCACCAAAAATTAACTTCTTTTTTTCTTCTTAATGATTAATGTACGTGCTAACAGTGACAATTATAAATGTGGGGGGACAATAATATCCGCGTTAGCCCCAATGAGATTATGGTAACTTTTAATTGCCTTTGAAGATCAAAAGAATTTCCAAGTCAGTAAACACTATGTTCTTTGATTTTCGTTACAGTTTATCTCATGAAGTTTCTCTTTGATTAAGAAAAAAACTCAACTTTCTCTTTATGTTCTGCGTTTCTAATAACATTTAGAACAACACACAACTTCCTCAGGTCCTTCATGCATGCTCATAGCTAAGCTTTTTCCCTCTTTCTGTGAAGGCGTTAAAATAACTAGCCAGGTCTTGACTTGGTTGGGAAAGGAAAGGAAAAAAGAAAGAGGGGAATCTATGAGTTGGAAAAGGATAAGAGGATAAAAAGGATATTTAGGCTTTTTCCTCGATCAAGCTACACACAATGATGCGTCCCTATGCGTCCCCTACCAGTACTTCATGTCCTCATATGGCAGCCTTTTTTGGAGAAAAGTCGATCAATTGCATAGAAAATTAGGTGTGGCTACAATCTTGAATGAGTAGATCCTGAACAAGCTCAGGGCCTCACCAAACCAAAAACAATCTTGAGACAAATGAAACGCAAACAAGGCAAGCCTGTTGGGACCGCGATTACAAAGCTTAGGCACATGGGGCCACAGAAGCTTACTGGAATTGTGAGAGGAGCTCACAACAATCATCAATCAAACCTCCCCTAACAGAACCAAAGGAGATACCCTGCGAAACAGCCGCAACATATGGCAGCCTTGAGTCAACCTCACTTTACATGAAGCTTCATTATTCCTAATCAGTTTTTCAGATCTCTAATTCTTTATCCGTTTCAGTGAAACTACAGATATTCTGGTCAGATTAATGTTTGTGTTTATGCGAAATCTGATGAATTATCTCTGTTGAGTGAGAAATATGATCAATTAATTCGTATTCAAAGTTGCAAGTTGGACGACAAGCTTGCAGCAGAGTTAGGTGCAAGGAAGGACCACTGAAATGGAGGACAATTACCCAAAAGCCGTAGGGGTGCCCCAGCCCAGCAAAGGTCAATTTCTGTACTAGCGGAATGGAATACGACTATGGATGATAAATGGGTACACAGTGACTTCAGCCAAGAGCCCATATCATACTTATGGTCCTGTAAAAAGAAGCCTTCTTCAAGCCTTCCCTTTTGAGCTCAACGGGATTTTGCTTTGAAAGTAAATTGCCCAAATGAGAAATCTCATGTGGGCTAGAAATGCACTGCAGTTGAAACGCGCATTTCAATTAACAAAGCCCACAACCAAAAGAAATCAACGAAAGCTAGTGTTCTGCCAATTGCAGCTTATAGATGGTGTTCATGGACATCTTGAATTGTGTGATGTCACAGTTCATTAATTCAGCTAAAGCTGACCACTTAATCATTGCTTAATCACTAAAACGATATAGCACAAGATACAGGGGAGTGTTCCAGAGGAAAACAACATTAACAATATCAGATAACATTGTAATGTTAAAACATATCTTCCTTCATTACAACATCTACTACTACAGCTATTATGGGACCAGGTACCAGCCACCAAAAAATTCCAAAACCCGTATACCTGTTTTTATAGAGTGATTCATCCTAATTTACTAGAATCTACTTGGTTTCAGCGACCGGGAGGTACACGCCTTCGGCTGCCAACCAAACATTGTCTGCGCGTTTTTCTCTGACAGCGCAAACCTAGATCATAGTGAAAGGATAATATTTAGCACAACTTCAACAATGATTTATCAAAAAGTTTATCTCCACTATTGTTACATAAATGAAAGAAAGAAAAAAAAATGTAAAATTGTTTTCCATTGAAATAACATTTCTTGCCCAGCTTAACGCTAACATGGCAATAACTTATTGTAAAATTTCTTTGTTAAGCCGCGGAACACACTAACATGGCTATTGAGTTTACAACATACAGACTTTACAGAATTATTGGAATGTCTAGTACACCACCAAATCAAGAGAATGCGTAAATGTAAAAGCCAGAGATAGGTGTAAAATAAAACAAATCATTAAGAATATAGGACATAATCAGTAATGAGCACCATTATTAACAATCCAGACTCAACGCACCAACAGAAACAAAAAAAACAAAACAAAACAAAAAAACGCAAGTGACCAACGAACTTAGAAATTTCGTTTTCATTTAATGGTGGAGATATGGAGTTTAGTTTCATTATTCTTACCTCCTGCTGTCCCCCAGCAATGCGGGTGTACTTCTTGTCATGACTATGTAGATAAACACCTGTGTCGACATGCTGAATTCGAACCCTTTGATCCTGCTTCCAGGTCTTCCCACTCCCTTCAATCGTAACCCTACAAAATACCACACCAACCCAATTCATGAGCAATGAAGATGAAAAATACAGCCTAACCTCCTATGAACAAATCACTTCGCTTCTCACCTCCAGTGATCACCAGTATCAGATTCAGATTCTCCCCCAAAGCAGCTCACCTACACCGAATCGATTATGCAAGTCATTTCAGACGTAATAATGGCCCCACACTTGATTATACAAAAGGAAACAGATTCAAACTGTCTACAAATAATACTGGAAAAGCCATATACAAAATCAGGTCGCAAAGACTCTAATATTCAGTGTTTCACCAATTCATAATTACAAGTAAACCCGACAAACACAAGTACAAGCATACAAAAACAAAATTAAATAATGCTTGACCAATGACCATTACGAAAGGTTGGTAAGAAAAAGAAGAGTTTTGAAACCTCTTGGTTGCCAGTTATGGGGGAGGCGTGCAAATGGCTGTGCAGCCATTTCCTAGTCCTCATGTGCTGCAACCTGATAATTGTCCCACTTGGAATGCTATCACCTTGCTTGGCAGCTGTTTCGAGCTCAGGTCTAACAATCTGCAAACGAAAACCCAGTTCAGTAACTGTAACCAAACCACACCCAAGAAACAGAGACGAGGAGAAACAGAAGAGAACACCATACCCAGTAGCTATTTGCATCGTCAACGTTGGGAAAACCAGTGACAGACTGCTGACCACTACCAGAACCATACGGCACGTCGTGGGAATGCAGGCGAAACTTGGTCTTCTCGTGCATCAGCTTCAGCACAGTCCCGTACGTCACCTGCCCAATCGCAATTCAATTATACAAAATTCCCAAAAAAGATCAAATCAAATAGGAAATGGAGGTGGATATGAACCTCGACGCCCTCGGAGGTAGAAGCGGAAGCAGCGTAGCCTGTATCGAGATCGAGGCCGAAGAAGAGGAACAGAGCAAAGCAGAAGAAACCCATCGCCATAACAAAGAGTAATGCTATGAACCAGTTCTGTTGCCAGAAGGGAAACTCAGGCTCCGAAGCCCGCCTGGGTACTGTGACTCGCCCCACGAGACGACCCGGCTCTGTGGAAGACGACGGAGAGGAAGAGTTGGAGGGTTTTCTTCGACTCAAACTCGGCGAACCTGAAGAAGCCACGGTGAGACTCCCTACAAAAGGGAACTGGAAATCTGGATTTGGGATTTGGAAATGTGAATTTAGGGATTTGGCCTTTTGGGGTTTCGATCTGTGACTGTGACTCTTTCTCTCTCTCTCTGTGCCTGTAATTTGTGAATGTATGAGTCTTTTTTCTGGTTGGAGAGCGCTGCTGCTGTGACATGGGATCAGCGAATGGGAGCGTGACACGTTGGCATTGTATTGACATGGAAGGTTGTTACTGGACGTATGACGTAAAAACCACGTTGCGGCCCAAAAGGCTTCGGATTCTTGAGGAAGCCCGTGAAATAAGATTGATGTAAGCCTAATTGAGCTTATTAATGGGCCGGGTTCGACCCAATCCCATTAATCGGTGCCCGCATGGCAGTAGTTGCCGTTTTGCAGTCGACTCGCAGATGAGGGGTTTTCAGCCGTTGATGTGTGATCGCACATGAGTGGTTTGTTAAAAATGCCCTTTGAACAAATTTTATTTATTTATGACACATGAAAAATAATTCCCCATTCTTATTGGTCCCTCCAAGTTCTCTCTTTTTTCCATATTACTCGACAACCACAACTGAAAACTAAAAATAAAAAACGACTAAAGGCTCAAATTTAAAAATTTCCCCCAACCCACCATGACACACTATCATAAATGCAACATGACTGTCCTCGTGATGTGAGATTGCATCATGGTCAACTAATTTTAGTTTAATTGACGACTAATCAAGAATCAACCAACTATTTTTTCTCTAAATCCTCATAATATATTAGGAAAGAAAAATCGATTAAAATGTTCCTTCCTTCTATAAAAGAATATCAATATAAATATGGTTTAGACCAATTAGCCAATGTAATATACCAATACTATAAATCAGAGTTTGGTATCTCTCTGTGTACATTAGAGTAGTTTAAACTATCAACTTGTAAACAAAATCGCTTAGAAATATTTTTGTAATAAAAAAAGTTTCCATAATTGATATATATATATCAGAAAAATAAAAGAAAAGGAAGGTATTTAAAAGGCAGTTACTTGTCCATCTTCAACGGTCCTCCTAAATTACGCCATCCTTTTTTATTACTGTTGTAAGTGAAGTAATCATTCCCGTCTTTTTCCCGCTTAAAATTTGAGATATTTTCTGTACTTTTTTTTTGGTTGCCAAAAAGAGCTTTTCTTTACTTGAATTTGCCTAATATGATAAAGATTCCATGGCCTATGGATACCGATGGAATATTATCTTTATTTTATACTTATCTATTAAAAAAATTACCAAATGCATTTTAATAATGAAAATTAAATCACAAGTCATTTTATATGATGCTTAGTGCCTGTTTAGCATTGCTTATTTGGGGTGATAAGTGATTTTTAGAAAAATTTAGGAAGCTCAGCCCGTTTGGTAAACTATAACTTAAGAAAATCACTTATTGTTAACAATTATTGTGAGAGAAAGCAGTTAATGAGGTGCTTTCATATTCTGATTATGTGGGAATTAGTTTCGAAAAGGCGATGAGTTTAATGAAATTTACAAACTTCCGAAAATACCCCAATCTATTTCACGCAATCTCTTATATTCGTTCATTCTCTCCTTTGCATCCCTTTGCTTCTTCACGCCATCTCTTTCACAGAGTTCTCATTCTCTTGAATCTCTTATATTCTTCCTATTATTTTTTCTTATTAAGTCAATTAAAGCACACTCCTGAGAAGCTACAAGACTCAGATAAGAGGCATATTATGTTTATTTATTCTCAATTTCATTCTTTCCTCTTTCTCTTTAATTTATAGGGTTTTAACTGTAAATTTCATTCTTCACTCTCTCTTTAATTTGCTAGGGTTTTAACTTAAATAGTTGTTCTTGTTGGTTTTTGTTTGTATTTTTTTTATGTTCCTGTTTTTGTTTCTTTGTTTGTTTGAAAGAATATTTATTGTTAATGGAATATATTGGATTTGACCTGAAACGTTAGTTTAGAGCATTTGGGTACAAATATTTAAATTTCAACATAATACTTTATTTCATTTATAATTAAAATAATTCGTAGGGTGTGATGAAAACATATTTAATATAAAAATAAAATGAAAGTGAAAGTGTTTTCCCTTTTATCAAACACTTTAACAGAAAAGTCATTTCAACATAATGCTTTTTTCAATCATTATATATAGCTCACAACATTTTCACAAAAAAAATTACCAAACACTTAGGGCATGTTTGATATTCAAATTGAATCCAACTTTTTAAACTTAAAAACAAAATTTGAGTTCAAAACAAAGAAAACCTGTTTGGTAGCCCTATTTTTAAAAACTCAAACTCAATAACAACTAAAAAAATACCCCAATTATTAAAAACAAAAAATATTTGTTATTTCAATTTTTTTTTCTAACAACCCACAAGTTCTCACATTTTTAAGATTTGAAAACAGTTTTCAAGTTGCATACCAAAGTTTTTGAATATTAAAAATAGATTTAAGAACTCTTTGTTTTTAAGAAAAATAAAAGTTTTTGAATTCCCTATTTAAATAGGATACCAAATGCCCTCTTAGAAAATGATTATTGTATCAACATCACTTTTAAAAAAAAATTTACCAAACGCCAAATTGCTCTCTCTCGCAACAAATATAACAAGGATTATATTCATAGCACAGCAATTGCAAAGACTATACATATATTATTATTATACAATTCACATATATCTAGCTCAGTATATATATATTTTATTATACAAATCACTATACGTATTTTATTATACAAATCTCACAGACAGCACGGGAAGACTGGAGACTCGAGACATTTATTCAGTTTTGGAAGAAAAAAAAAGTCTTCCCAAGAAAAGGGAAAGCAGCGATAAATCTGGCCGTTGAAGGACCCCTAGGTGGGCCCCACAAAGAAGATCCAAAGGCGGATTTGAAATCTCAAATTGAACTCCAATTCACAATCCCGCGGATTCCGAGCCAAGCTTCGCTGGATTCTCTTTTTAAGGGCAGAAAACAAAAATTTATTTATTTAACACAAACAACGACTGAGGCTCAGAGAGTGGGATGGGATGAGAGAGAAAGAGACGGTATAAAAAAGAAAAAATATAAACGCGAGCGAGCGAGTGAATGAACGACATAAAAAAATTTTATATGCAAAAATAATATCGAAAACTCTCATTCACTTTCTCTCTCTAAAAAGAAAGAAGGGGAAAACCCTAACTTTCTCTCTCCTAAACTTTTCCGATCGCTCTCTCTCATCGATTCGTGTGGTTCTAGGCCTTCAATGGTGTGAAATTAGGGCTAGAGCTGCGAGATTGTCAAGGATCTAAAGCAAGAAATAGGAAAGCGAGCACCAATGGCGTCGGCAGACAAGGAGCTCGAAGCTCAGCTTACGGAAGCTGGGAATCAGCTCTTGGAACCTCCGTCTTCCGTCGAAGACCTCCTTCCTCTTCTCGACGTAAGCCCCAATTCCCTTTCGAATGGTTATGGTTTTCTATTTCGTTTTCTTTTCGAACGGTGAAATTTGTGCCTTTAAGTGGTTTTTGTTCCATGATTAATTTCGCGTTTTTATTTTATTATACTCCTTTCTGTGTGGTTAGTTGTCAATTTAGTGAAATGAGTTTCGAATTTTGTTGTTATGAAAGCTTCTGATGTGGGAATTAAGTGGTTTTACACAATTTCCACGGTTTTATTTTTTGGCGATCCGTTCTAAAGTCTTATTCCCATTTTAATCTTGCGCTGCATGTTCATGTGATTGGTATTGCTTGTATTATCGGTTATTCTTCCCCTCTTTAAGCTTTAGGCACGAACAATACTTTCATATGCCATGCATGAAGTCCTAGGTAGCCTTTCTATGCCGTAATGTTCTGTTTTCATGAGGTTGAGGACGAGGGGTTTGAGTCTCTAGCTCACTTTCCTTTTAGGCTTCTTAGTATTTTACTCTTTTTATCCCTCAGTGTGAACATAACACAGGTCTAAAAGTGGTACGTTAATGTCAATTATGCCTGGCCAAAGTAAAAGTAAATGATGCATATTTTTGTGGTTTCCTGCACAGTGGGATGATAATATGGTTTATGCATTTAATGTAATACCAATTAAGTTTTAATTTTTAAGAATGATGAAGGTTTTAGATAATTTTAAGGTTAGTTTTTATCATGTACAGCAAAGGAAATACAAATGATATTGCAAAGGAAATACAAATGATCTCCCAATATGAATATGAAGATACGTTATTCATGTTCACCATATCTAAGAAATCAAATTGAAGGCCGATCATTTCAAGTTTCATTTAATGCTCAGGAAAGTCATTTCGTTTTGGATATTTGTCCTATGCTTGTCCCTAGTAGATATTTGGAAAGAATGTAATGTAAATATTTTTGGTTACTTTGCATTACACTTTCCTGAAAAGGAGCTTTTATTAATTGAGGTTTGCGTTGCTGTTCATTTCTCCTTGTATGCATCATGTTTTCTAAGTGAATTTGTTGCTGGTACCTTTCTTAAAACGAAGGCCAGTTATTTCTTTTAAAGTTTGTTACTGTTGTATATTCTTTCTTTCCATGCTCCGGTTAATGTAATCTTCATAGAAACTTGTCGATGTTGTTAAATTTTTCTTTCGCTGGTTTCAGATCAAGTTAATTTAATGTCTTTGATCATATTTGGCTTGGGTGGAAGAATAACATTCTTCTCGTTTCGGTGGTGTTTAATTCTTGTCTCTTTGGTTTCAATTGGTTTTATTTGCCTTTTTTATTCTTCCATTAAAGGAGAACCTTATTTTTGTTGTTGACGAGGTGTTCCAGGCTCAACAACCAACATTAATACTTGACACATGATTGTATTCTGAATCCCATATGTAGGATTTGGGTCTCAAAGGCTTATAAAGTGTAGTGAAAAATCGGGAGAGTAGTCATGTCACTTGAAATCTTCACCCCTCTTAACCTCGTAATGAAGGGCACTACACATCTTAACTATCATCAACGAATGGTTATGGCCCTTAGTTTCAAATTTTTTGCAATGGGAGAATTAAATTTTATTGATTTATATTGTTGTTCTCAAGGTCACTAGCTTTGGCTAATATTTAGTTTTTTTTTCCTGGTGATGTTAGAGTGTCGAGAGTTGTCTATCAAAGGTAGAGCAATCACCTACCAAGTCAATGCAAACTGCACTTTCTCCGTCACAGAAAGCATTGG